AAAATTTCGAAAGGTGCACCTTACCTCTACAGCTACGGATGCATCCGTATGCCAATTGCACCCTTAATAAATAGTGTAAACAAGGGCAAAATGAAAAGGTAAAGGTTTCTATACACCCCTTATATTATAGAAATATATACTTTCCCCTCAACCACTGACCGTTAATCTAGATCACACTCCTCAGAGTATTATATTTTTAGTTTTTTTCTACAATTTGTATGAATATAAAATCTGGTACGTGCCTTCTCAATGGGGTGCACCTAAGAAAAATATTAAAAATAATTTTTTAATAAAATATAATGATTAAAATACCCTTTGAAATTTTGAGGGGTATTTTTATCATTTTATTTTATTGATAATGTTGTTTTTATATTCTTTACAAGTGCGAGTTTAAGAGATGAGTGGATGCCCAAAATTTGGTATCAACATATTTTGTAAAAAATTTTAAAATAAAATAGTGGAGGGATGTGACAATGTGATTGGGGCCATCTCCACCGTCCATTCAGAATAGATGGTTAAATAGGCGGAAGTATATAAGTTTTATGCAGTAGAGGAAGCAGAGAAAACTTGCCCAAATGAAAAAAGGCATAGATTCTATTAGCCTATGTAGAAATGAGTTCCCTCTTAAAAATCTATTTTTGAGATGAATTTTTTGACCCAATTTCAAGTACATATAATCTTTAAATGGAAATCATGAATATGGAAAAATAAATAAATTCTAGAAATTAAAAATAATAATTTTATAAAAAAAATATTTGGGTCATAAGTTTCAACTGTGTTTAGATTTGAACCCCCCATTTGCATCCATCTTAAAAATGGATGCTTTATACCTCAAGGAATGCAAATGTAGACATGCGTCCCTCGATTCATGAAACAATATATTTTTTTTTTGACAATATTATTAAAGCTTTATTAATCAATCAAAGGTTACGGTCAATCAGAAAGGAAAAACATCCGAAATAAATAATTTTCCAGTGAAAAATAAAGCAAATGAGGTAAGAAAGAGTTTGGCCTTGTGGGGAAAAAAGCAACTAGTAAGGGATGGGTCTGTGGAGGGGAGGCCTCTCACAATTGTGAGAATCCATGGTATTTGTCCTAAATTCCTGATAAGAAAAGAATGATGACTAGGAAGCTTCGAACTTATTCACCCTAAAACAATGTTAACTTGACTTTTGTAAGAATTTATATAACATGGGCTGTCACCCCAATCTAAATTCGATTCAAATTGTCGATCTAACGATCCAACATAGATCAGTAGGTAAATGATCCGCCCTATTGATCCGAAATTTTAAATGTGGATTATACTATCCTAGGGTTAAATGTCACTTTGTAGGAAAAAAAGGTAAAAGGAGAGGGAGACTTCATATTCCTTATGCCCTTCAAGCACATTTGCTGGGTTTTCTTTACATGTTTTACTTTGGGCCCCACTATACCATTGGAATACTATCTATAGTGTGCTTTGGGAGAAATACTAACACTTGCACCATTGGACAAAAATCAAACATGGGAATACTACCTCGAATCTCTTAAAAAATATATTCTCTTGGTCTCAAATTTTGGAATTCACATTCAAATCATTAGATAAATATTTTTATAAAAAATATATATTACAATTTAAGTTTGGAAAATAGTTTTATACGGTTGCAGCACTAACAAAATCAAAATAAGTAACGCCTCACTTCATAACTCATCAAAAATTACAATTCAAGCGTTGGAAAACCTCTACATCAATCGTCTTAGCTTGAACATTATGGTTGTAAAAAAAAACAAGATTTTAAACTCTAAAAGTAACGTAAATTGTAACAAATTATCTAGACTATCCATTTCACTCGAAAAATAAGTGTTCATAGATCCATAAGATATATATATTTTTTGAGTTTCAAATTTTATTGTCGGTATTGGAAATTGATTTTAGATCCATTGTAGTTTTCCCATTACCAAAAGTGCTTTCTAGACGAGGATTTGATATTAGGCTTTATTTGTTTTCATAAAGCCTAGGCCTTATGGAAACTTCATCTCAAACAGGAAAAAGTTCATATAGAGCTGGGGCTCTAAGCAATCGAATTAGATTCCACCAAAAACATTTCAGTGGAAGACATTGTTTTGATGCTCAAATTTACCATCTCAACATCAAGATGCATGGACTGAGGAAAAAAATGAATTTCAAGTTTTGGAAATAGGGCATCTTGTAACGCATTTTTGGACCGTCAATTATCAAGATTTTCAAGTTTTCATATATCTGCTCGATCTACATTATTTTTTAAGCTTTAAATTTTTTAATTAAAGATGAAAATATATTTTAAGGCCATCACAAAGATTTCCAATATTGAAATCACATTTCTCGACACTATTTGAAGGCACGCTTTACTTTGATTTTATTTTGAGCCTTAGCTCTATACAAACCGCACCCTCGTATATAATGAGACCATTTACATTTGGTACAAGGAGGTATTGGGTGTGGTTTGTATAAGATTGAGGCCCTGAAAAATCAAAATAAGGCGCACCTTCAAATGGTTAGGATCTCACCCTTATAGAAAACTTTTCCTTGATTAATACTGTACCTGTACCTGTTTCAAAATTCATGAAAACATATCTTTGATCAGGTCTTCTATGTTAAGGTAATTATAAAAACTATTCCTTATTTTTTAAAATATTTGAAAATACTCAATTTTTTGAAAACCTACATACATACCTACTTTCTTACTGTTTGTATTTTTTTTTTTTTACCAAACCTACCTTCCACATGTTTTGAATGTAGATTTTTTTAAAAAAATAGATATGTTTTGAATTTCTAGTAATTTCACTAAAAATAAATAATATGCTGTATAATTCATCTCTTGTAGATATAAACTTCCTTACCGTACTTGAACACCCACTATTTGTATCAATTTTGGATCCAAATTTGTAGTGATCCACGATCTCCAGTATGATGATGACGAATATAAAAAATAAAATACAATAAAATAAAAAATTAAAATATTTTTATTAGAATATTTTCCAATCCATTAGATGGGAATCTTAGCGGTAGATGTCTACCTTAAATATAGACGTTAGTGATTGAGTAGACAAGTCACACTCATTAAATACTTAAGAAATATGAGCTGTTGGATGTCCCCAACGACTACTAGAAATTCCTTACATGCTAAGAAAGTAGAAAAAAACTTTATATCAGGTATCGTCCTTTACTGTACTAGTAAGCTGCATCTTAAAAAGCAACTTGAGAAGGTTGTTTCAGGCTGAAAAACCTTGAAATGGATTATTTTGATATTGAGATTCATATACATAGAAAAAAAAAAAAAAAAAAATTTAATAGTCTTAAAAATATTTATTTTTTAATAAATTATTTGAACCATTTATTTTCAAGATTTTTAAGTGTTTATAGATATGCTTGATCACCACCATTTCTTAAACTTCAAATTTCATAATCAAAGGCAACAATAAATTTTTATATCATCGCAAAGCTTTGCCAAACGAAAACTGTATTTCTGGTATAGTTTTGAGGTGCACATTACTTCAATAGTATAAGGTTGAGACCTTACACAAACCTCACCCCGAAGAAAGTGCCATTTAAGAAAGACTGGCCATGACTTTTAGGCTATAAATGCGCGCTAAAATCGAATAATCGCATATAGGGAGTGGCAGTGATTTCTTAGAGAGAGAAGAAGACGGTAGTTGCAGTCCAGAGTCCTAGAGAGAGAGAGTAACGAAATGGCCGAAGTTGAAGAGCGCGAAGAAATGGTCGAGGTTGAGGAGCTTAGTGATATCAAGTCCGAGCCTTTGGACATCAAATCGCTTCTCAGCGGTGAGGGAAGAGATTTTCTCGTGAGGAACAATGGCGATCAGGTGCTTTTCCTCTTTCTTTGCTGCCTCTCTTTTGGGTTTTTATTTTGGATTTTTTGAAAGTGCACTTTAATGGATACATAGGTTTTGAATTCGATAGTTTTTTTAATCAATGGTTTTATGGTTGGTTCTATCTCTAATGGATTCATAGATTTTGAATTCGATAGTCTTTTTAATCAATGATTTTGTGGTCTTTCTAAAATTGGGTTATCTTTCTCTCTTTCTCTGCGATGCAATGAATTCGCAGATTATGAATTTACAGCTTTTAAGTTGTTTCTGTGTCTCTTTTTCTCTCGAACTCTGTGTTTTTCTCTCTCATCCAGTGAATTCAGATGTTCCAAATCCATACTTTTGTTATTCCTTTGCAATTGCTTAATCGAGATTCAGGATTGTATGCTACAGCACACTGTTAAGCATGCTACGAGCATTGTCCACAATAGATGACTGATATCAACTGTGGTAACCATTCCTCTGTGCCGTTCATTGTTGCCTTCCTGGGAGCTGCATAGACCCTTAACTCGAGAAAGTTGTTTTCAATTGGAGTCTCCAAAGATATTTGTCAAAAAAAAATTGGGGTGTCCAAAGATGGGAGTGTATACTGTATGGTCCGTCAATGGTCCCAATTATCATTAGCTTTCATATGTGACATTGGATATTGGGAACACGTTCTTTTAGACATAAAGGTCAAGGAAAAAATTTACAATCAAGCCATCCGCCCCATTTCAAATTTGACGGCCAGGTGGATTGTGACATTCTATTATCATAATTACCATAGATCAAAGGATCTTGTTGTATACTTTTCCTGTAGAAAATCAAGAAAAATAGAAAAGCGAGAAAAACGATCATGGGTCACAAATTTTTATGTGTTTGTAGTTTAGTCACGATCCCATTCATCACCATTTCCATCAATGGATTGGATGTTGGACTGAATTGGAGGGGGTGGGTTTCATTGCATCATTTTACTTAGTGTATTTTATGGCCTTATTCTTTGTCCATCAGCTGGTTAGACAGTGTGAGGCCATAGTATATGCACAAGACCACATTACAATTCATCCGAAAATATATGCTAAAAGATTATATACTCGTATGGCAGCATCTCTTACAATTTCTCCCTTGATTAAACCCGTATCTAGGAGTAATTTTAGGGGTTTAATTTTTGGGAATGTAACATCTTCCACCTAGCTGCCAACTTAAAAAGAAAAAAGAAAAACAAAATGATAACCATTCTGTATCAAGCTAAAGAATAACGTTCTAAAATTGATTGGAGATTGTCCAAATTCTGGATGGTCATATCCAAGTGTCTAAGGAAACATTTTATTTTTTTTAGAATCTTAAAATTTTAGATCAAGAGAATGCTGCTAAGTAGGTAGTTTGCGTGAAGGAGCAAGTAAATAATGTGCTTTTGAGTGAGTATGCTCTGTAAGCAATATGTATTATGATTCAAATCACTGGGTTAATTGTATGATCATCTGGCTTGTTATTGTCCCGTCTATTGGTCTTGGTGGTGTTGGTAATGGAAGCAGAGTGCATGTCTCATACAACATATCAGCTGCATCCAAGCAACGGATGGACAGAGTCGGTTATTTGGGCATCAATGTACGATGCAATGGATATGTGTGTGTTCCTAAATCAAGCATAACCAGGTGGATAGGATCCAAGTCCAATTGAGGGTTTAACGTGGACCTTCCTGGTTGGGGTCGAGCTGCCCTGCCCTGCCCTGTTTACAGCCCCTATTTACAGCCCTAGAGAGGAATCCCCAGTAGGACATGACGAAATAGCGGTCCCACTCTTCATCGTAACTCTTTTTTTTTTTTATATGTTAAAAGTGAGAATGGAGGGGGGGACGTTGTGTTGAGGCATCCGCCCCCGCCTAACCACCTGCGCCCGACCCCTCATTTCCTTCATCGTAACTCTTTATAGGTGGATTATATCTTGTGCAAAACTGCACTGGCATAAGGAGTCATTGGCTTTATACTAGAAAGTGTGTAAATGTTAATTAGGTTGATCAAGTTTCATGATTTATAATGTAACAAAATCTAATGTTTGTGTACTTTTGGAGCTCACTGACACACACACGGGTGGAAAGTTTCAAAATTTTATTTTTTTGACTTGTTCCAAACATTTTGTAGGTGAAGATCGACAATTTGGAAGGAAAGCTTGTGGGTCTTTATTTCTCAGCTTCTTGGTGTGGTCCTTGTAGGAGGTTTACACCAAAATTGATTAAAACATATGATCAACTCTCCACCAATGGTGATTTTGAGGTTGTATTTGTGTCTGGGGATTCAGATGAGAAGTCATTTGAAGATTATTTCCATAAAATGCCATGGCTTGCCATTCCTTTTTCTGATTCCACGGTTAGAAGCAAACTTGATGAGGGTTTTGAAGTTTATGGGATTCCCCACCTTGTTATTGTTGGGAAAGATAGTAAAATTTTGACATCAGAAGGTGTTGGTACTGTGTCCGAGTATGGGGTTGATGGGTACCCATTCACTAATGAGAGGCTTGAAGAGCTCAAGGAGCAAGATGAGGAGATACGCCAAAACCAAAACTTGAGAACCCTCCTTGTGACTGATAGAAGAGACTTTGTTATATCTAACGATGGCAGACAGGTATGCATTTGTTTCTGATTCTCTTTACCTTTTTAGAAATTGGTTGAGTTTATTAACCTCTGAGATTTATGTTTTTGTAGAGCATTAGCAACATTAAGATCCATCAAATAACCCAAAATGCCCCTCATGCATTTGAAAATGAGGGCAAATATTGTGATGATATTAACACATTTTTGGGTGATAAGACATTACTAATTGACACATCAAATCAAAGTTCATGTCAAGAGACAAGGTCATTTCTGTGATACCCAAACACTCCATTTCTGTCGTAGTTTTGCATCTCAACACTTCCAGACATGGGGCCATTAGAAAGTATTAGAGCACAAGGTCGGGTATGAGCCCACGACATTTTATAATGGATATGAACTATGCAGTTTATTAATTTAAAATCTAGTACTTTATAATGAAATAAGAGTCTTGCCGGCATGTCGTCTGGTGTCTCGATTTTAGACACGAATTGGATTCAGGCACCTTCACAAATGTCCATGTCTAGGCAATATAAGGTCATTTGGCATGCCATGCTTGATCATAATGCCCCGTGTGGGTTGGTGCTGATTTGGCCACCACATGATTAATGCTGGTGTTTTTTAGTTGATTTTCTACTATGCGCCTCACGATTGGCCAAGCGATCTCTCTAACTTCAAGCCAAATAATTCAGTTAGCCATGTATGCAGAAAGCTAGACCCTAAACAACAAAAAGCCAATTTGGCGTGCAGACATCCTTATTCCAACAAGGCAAAGCCACTACTTTGAGAAAAACTGGTAGTCGGATGTGATTCTTTTTAACACATTAGGAGGTAACACCAGAATTGCTACCTTGACATTGTGTTGTGGGCCTCCTTTAGTCAAGGATCAAAACATAAGTTTGTTCCCTTCGATTTTGATTAAAGATGATGTTAAAAAGTACATTCCAATGCTAACTATGATGTGTTCAGATTCCAATATCAGAGCTGGAAGGGAAGACAATTGGCCTATACTTCGCAGTCTCTGGTCATCCATTCTGTGAAAAATTCACACCCGAGCTCATCGAAGTGTACAAGAAGCTAAAAGAGAAGGGTGAGAGTTTCGAGATTGTGTTAGTTTCCTCTGATGAAAATATCAAAGACTTCAACGAACATTTCTCGAGCATGCCATGGCTCGCATTGCCTTTTGAAGATATTGCCTTGTCAAGGTTGAGGCGTCTCTTTGAGCTTCAAGGCTTCCCGACCTTAACAGTGATTGGGCCTGACGGGAAAACTCTCAAAGACGATGTTGTGGAGACAATCGGGGATCATGGTCCGGAGGCATATCCTTTCACTCCTGAGAGGTTCATACAATTGGCAGAGATCGAGAAAAAAAGGCTTGAGTCTATGACCTTGGAGTCTCTCCTCATGTCTGACGATGGAGATTTCATCATTGGGAAGGGTGGCATAAAGGTAAGATTCTCAATCTAACTGTTACTATAAGAAATTTCTCTCATTCACACATGCAAGGTTGTGCACTAAGTCGCTAACACACATGCATATTTAAGATTGCCATGTATGTTTAGGCAAATATGGGCATTTCCATGTATGTGGTTGGCAAGCACGGACGGATATCTTGGACACACTTGTCCATGGCTTATAGCTCCTGGTGATACACCATGGGGTGACATACCATGGACATGGCATGCATATCAGACGATTCAAAAATATAGATGCTTGTGCCAACTTTCCATTACAATGTCATAATGAAAATACTTAAATCTTATTTTCTTCCTCCTTCAAATGAGTATGCATCTGTTGGGCTTAGAAGATCTACTTTAGGGTTGGCTGTTCTGACATTCATATCTGCCTTAGATGTTGAAATATGTATCCGTGTCTTCATAACAGAAATATGTGCCTTAGATTGTGAAATATGTATCTGTGTCTTCATAACAGAAATATGTGCCTTTTAGGCATTCAAAAGACAAAAAAAAATAAAAAAAATGGCCCTGTTTCCAACCTTACAATAGAGTCTATTATACCTTGGCAGGTGCCAATCTCAGAGCTCGTTGGAAAGAACGTATGCCTCTACTTCTCAGCAGAGTGGTGCCCCCCATGCCGAGCATTTTTACCAAAGTTGATTGAAGCATATAATGAGATCAAGACAAATGATTCCAACTTTGAGATCGTGTTTATCTCCAGCGACCAAGACCAAGGGAAATTTGACGAATTCTTCTCAAGCATGCCATGGCTCGCCCTCCCATTTGGTGACAAGGCCAAGGAGAAATTATCGCGTACATTCAAGATCAGGGGCATCCCATCACTAGTGGCCCTTGATAAGAAGGGGAGGTTGGTCACAAATGATGCAAGAAACCTTATAATGAGGCATGGCTCAAAGGCTTTCCCTTTCACTGAGGAGAGGCTCAAGGAGGTAGAACAAGAGCTTGAGGAAATGGCAAAAGGGTGGCCTAAGGAGTTGAAGCTTGAGGTTCACTCCCAGCATCCACTTATGCTCATCTCTCAAAGGTGGTATACATGCGATGGGTGTAATGAAGGGGGGAATGGGTGGTCTTACTACTGCAAGGAGTGCGACTATGATCTTCACCCTAAGTGTGCTTTGAAGGAGAAGGACAAAATTGTAGATAGTGTGGACGAGGTTGAAATGGAAAAAACAGAAGAAGAGGGCAAAATCATAGATGGTGCAGAGGGTGAGAATGGACATGGAGAGGGGTGGGTTTGCGATGGGGAGGCTTGTCGCAAAGCCTGATGGTTGACCCCATCTGGTGTAACAATTCTCAGGGGACTAGGTTATAGGTTATCTTTGCTAGTCATGCTTGTGTGATCCTAACGCTATTTTGGATTCCCCCATAAACATGTGTTCAAGCTTGTTTTGCTATCTATGTTTGTATATTTGCCCCTGGTTTGGGTTCACTTAGGCCAAAGAATAAAAATTATTGTGGTTGTGTAATGGCATAAAAGTAGGGGATTAGAACTATGAAGTTCCAATGGGGTCGGGCGCAATGCATACATCAGATATATGATTTTAAAGTTCCATCAATTCCCGTGGGCGTGTGTACATGTACTGATAATGTAAACCTTTTCTTATTTATATAATAATGGCTTCAGAAGAAAACAGTTTATGATCACTGATCACTGAAATCGTTGGGAAGGTCAAAGGACCCCATTTTTGGCTTCTTGGTGTGGTCCTTGTTGGACTTCTACACCTAAATCGATTGTCATACATAACGAGCTCAAGCTTTCAACTGTGTGGTTTCTATGTTATGTTTGTATCCATGGTTTCAGACAAGAAGTTGCTTGTGAAATATTTCAGTTAACTGCTATGGCTTCCCATCATTTCTGTGACTCCAAAACTAAAGGCAACTTCAAAGATTAGGCTTTTAAAGTTTCGGGCACTTCTCCCCTCGGTATTGCTGGGAAAGATCAAAGAGTTTTAATGATAGATGGAGGTGAGCAGATGTGCCCAAATTAGAGCTTGAGGCGCCATCTCATGAGAAACACCCAAGACTTCGTTTTTATTGTAATAGAACAAACAGGTGTGAGTTTCACTAAAAAAAATTTGAATTTCTTGAGACGTAGTGCAATGAAAACCCAGCGGCTAACGCCTTGACCCATGAACGTTAAACATGGAGGTGATGCCCACAGTGTACCATAATTCTTTTCTCTGAAAAAATAATGTCAGCATTGCTTGGTTTTGTTTTTGTGACTAGCTTAAAAAATCTGTACCCTTGAGCTGCCTCATGCAATCTGTCTTACAGTAGATAAAAGTTCAAGGGAGCAGAAGATCACTCTGTGCTTCTGTTTCAAATCTTAAACATTATGTCCATCTATGTGACGACTACACTACAGTGATCCCGAATCCTATTTTAAAGGAGAACATGTGATTGAATCGAACCAAATAGCTATGGGATCATCCGACTGTCGAACCTATTGTGATTCACGGTTGGATCCCTATATCAAAGTTGGGAGGACAATGATAACCTTCCATACTGCAACCTATGGCCTCTGTCAAAATTTTACACTGGAAAATAGAGGAGGAAATGAAAAGCTTCAAGATCATGTCAGTTTCTTGAGATTCGAAGCTAGAGTCATTCAACATGCACTTCTCAAGCATGCTATGGCTCTGATAAAGCATTGGCAAAACCCGCACAGATTTTCAGAGATATTGAGGCTTCCCTGCCCTATTCTGATTTTTGGTAGATGGCAAAATTGTGAAGGATGATGGGTTTTTGGCAATGGAAGAACATGGTTTTGAGGCATACCCATTCACTCCTGATGGATTCAGAGGGCTTTTGATAGACAAAGAAACTCGGGTCACTGACCATTGAGTTGCTTGTCCTGGCTAAGTATCGGCAATCTGGTCGGATTCTTGATCAAACAAATTTTGTACAGGGAATTTTTTGGCCCAGGACCGAAGGGCCTCCAGATTGTGGAATTGTAATTTTTTTTTTTGTTTTTTTAAATTTTAAAGTTCACATATTACTTTGGGATCTTTAAAGTCTAAAGTAATATTGTAAGTAAAAGAAGATTAAATTCAGGATCTTCAAGGTCCAAAGTAAAGAGAAATTGGAGAAAAATAAAAATATTAAAAAAAATATGTATAATGAAATTTTTGGAATGGATTTATGTAATAATGGTAATTCAGAAGGGTATTAGTATAAATTTCTCTAAAAAAGCTATTATTTTTTAAGTAACAAAAAAAAAAACCACCTTTACAAAACGTGAAATAATGTACATTTTACAATATTAGACTGTGACATTACCTTGCCTTGCTTTTTCCCATTATTTTCTTTTCATTTTGTATTTCCCGCTTTTTTTCTATAAAAAAGTAAGATCATTTACTTTTAATAAAAGAGATCATAATCACTTTTGCCTTTCAGATTTCAAATGAGGTGGTTGTGAGCTTGTCAGTGATTAGAATCAAAGTTTTAAAATATTTTTTGAACTCGTGACACATTCCTTCATGACACCGTTCAATTCGACATTAATGGCTAAAAGTAATTGTGACATCTTTGTAACAAAGATAGGTAGTCTCTTAGTATGCAATCCCTTTTTCTTTTATGACGCTTATTACCCACTATACAGCGAAAATAACATTCCCCATTTATAATACGGGGCCTCGGTCTCCACCATTATCAATAAAATCATGAATGCCGATTTTTCCAATAGGTTGTGGTCATTATTTATCCCTTAATACTTTTCTTAAGTTTTTTAATGTTCCAAAAAGTGATTACTTGGACGCTAGAAAAGCCTTCAATTGAACATTTTGATAGAATATGAAAAAAAAAAAAAGATTTTAAGGTTTGAACATAATGCACATTGTAACGTATTATTTGACCGGTCTATTTTTAAGATTTTCAAAAGTTCATAGATTTGCTTGGTATGCACCTTCATAGAGCTTTAAATTTCATAATCAGCAGACTTCCCTTGTCATTCTCTCTATGGACTATGGATTATTGATGAAAATGCTATAATATAGTACAATACCCTTGCTTAATCTCTGTACATATAGTTAATGTTTTAAACCTAGTAATTTTCGATCCGGATCGCAGGTCCCAATGAAAATTGGTTGGGACCCAACCAGTTACTGAATGATATGGATCGCGGCTTAGTTCCCCCAAAAAAATCGTGTATATATATATATATATATATATATATATATATT